CTGCTGTTGAACGCCCCCGTGATTTTCTCTGATAGTTAGCGGTGGCGTCCCTCATGCTTGAAGGACCAAATTCATGAAATTAATTTTAGCTTACTTTCAGCCAATCAGAATTGAGTATTCAAAATCTTAAAGTAAATCGCAAAAATCTCTAAGTCAGAAAATAAATCCAGGCCATTAGTGTTAATATAGATCGATTAGACAATAAGCAGATGAGTTTTCAAGACTAAAAAATTCTTATGATTTTGACCTCATTAATCTTGATGATTATCTGAATAGTATTGCAGCTGTAACCCGCAATTTGTAATAATTCTGATTATTTTCCATTGATTTAATACATTTTCTGTTAATATTGACTTCGATTTTGTGAGAAAGGCATTTAACCAATAGAAACGCTCAGCAATTTTGATTGGATTAAATTTTTCAAGTTTTCGGTCCTTGAAAAGCATTCGGTCCTTCAAGCATGAGAACCCTCCCCGAAGGACCGAATACATGAAATTATTTTTAGCCTACTTTCAGTCAATCAGAATTGAGCATTCAAAATCTTAAAGTAAATCGCAAAAATATTTAGGTCAGAAAATAAATCCAGGCCATTAGTGTTAATATAGACCGATTAGATAATAAGCAGATGAGTTTTCAAGACTGAAAAATTCTTGATTTTAAACTCATTAATCTTGGAGATTATCTGAATAGTAATGCAGTTGTAGCCCGCAATTTGTGATATTTGTGATTATTTTCCACTGATTTAATGCATTTTTTGTTAATTTTACTTCGAATTTGGCGAGAAAGGGATTTAGCCAATAGAAACGCTTTGCGATTTTGATTGGTTGAAATTTTTCAAGCATTCGGTCCTTCAAGCATGAGAACCCTCCCTATAATTAGCGTCAGTATTTTCCCGCTCTTTAGAAAATGCGTTAAAATTATTCTGAAATTTTCCCGCCATTTTCGGCACTGTTTTTTTCGGCACTGTCTGTTGAACGCCCCCATTGAGAACTGATCTTGAAGCCCTGTTTTTTACGTTTGTATTAACATGTTTCTGGTACAATTTTTGACTACAATTTATTAGCCGTCTATGCGTTGCTTGACAATAAAAAGCTTGCCTGTAATTGCTTCAAAGTTGTACACAACAATCCCATACAAAACACTCCAATACAAAACAGACCGGAGAAATTTGAACCTCAATGAAAAAACAATCCGATACAAAGCAGAGCCGAGTAGTAATGGTTTTTGAAAGCCGGTAGGCAAGAGTTGTACGCGGCCTTAAATCGGACTGTTTTTTTTTTGGTTCGTTTCATGCTTTTTGCCTTGTTTTGTATTGGAATGTTTTGTATATGCACCTTCAGATCAGCGCAGATCTAGGAATTTTTCGAGAGGGGCGGTGGGGGCGAATTTTCAAAAAGAAAATGAATTTTTTTTTTGGTCGACTAAATAAATTTTCTGAGCTCTCCCAAACCACTATAAGACACTAATTAGACGAAATATTCTGCGCCGCAGGAAACTTTTTTGAAAAAAGGCAAAAAAGACGTTTTTCGGGACTTTTTGGAAAATTTCGACCAAAAAATCGCGTTTTTCGGCGCCCCCTCCCCAAAATAAGTATAGACTGGCGCCAAGGGCGCCTTTAGAACACTTTTAGGGTCCGTCAGCAAAAATGGATATCTCAAAGTAGTATAAAGGGTGACCCTTTGGGTCGGCATGGGGTCGAACCCCTGAGGGGAAGCGTCCCCCCCCTCTAAATCCAGATGCTAACAAAAAAATTCTTTCGGAAATTTAAAAATTTGCTCACAAATATAGATATTCTGCCGCTCAATAGCAATGTCAAGTACAAAAATCTAATGAAACTTGTGGATAAATATCTTCTAATGAAACTTGTGGATAAATTTTTGGATTTCATTACATGCAAAAATTCAATGAAAACTGTTATATGAAAAAATCCGTCTAAAAGTGACAGTCAAAATTTGTCTGACGAAAAAAAAACAAAACCGAGTAAAAATATTCAAGCATTTTCCTAAAAGGTCGAAATAAAATCATGTCTATTCGTTCTATTGTGAAACTATTTTCAGAATAAACAAGACTGCTCGTATCAAGGCGAAGCCCTGAATGTTCCGACTGCCTTTCAAGGTTTATGGAGCAGTAGTAACATAAAAAATTAAATGTAATACAAAAAAATGAAAAAAATCTATTTCTAAAATTTGAAGATTTTTCACGAAAGCATCCCCCACACGCCATATAAATTACAAATGAATGAATTTTGCTCATTGTAACAAATCAATTATGGCAATAAGCTTCTTTCATCCAACTTGAAACAAATTCTAAGACGCATTAAATCTGCGCTTACGCGTTAATAGCGCTAAATATATCGCGTGTTAATTGTCCCAAATTGGTCAAAATGGTCAAAATTGCAATCTTTAAACCCTCATAAAGTTACGAAAAATGATCACAGGTGAAATATCTCTTCAAATTTAAGCTCAGGACATCAATAGCTTTCGAATGATATAAAAAAATTCCGTCAAAAATGGCTAGTTAAAACGTCGAAATTTGTCTGAAGAAAAAAAACCCACCCGAGCACAAATATACCGCTACTTTTTTATCGAAAGTCGAAACAACAGGGATAGCCGGTTACTGTGCAAATGGCACATAGTGTTTTGACCTTATTTTAACAAAAACACAAAACAAAAAGAATAAAAAAGAAAAAAAGAACAAAAAGTCCAATAAATAGAAAAAAGGAAATTATTTATAATTTACAGTCATAGTCAAATAGTCTCTTTAAGAAAAAAGGTTTTGTAGAAAACAAACACGAAAAAAATTGCAAGAAAAATTTTTTAAAATCTTTACAAATGTTTCTAATAATTTTTGCAAAATTTTTTTAGAATTTTGAAAAATTTGATTCCCAAAATGGCACCAACAACCGCAAACTAAATTTGCTCGTGCACTGAAAGAAACAGACAAATTTAGTTATCCCGTCTGTTGTAGAAAGTTAGGAAAATGGTTTTTCCTCACTTGATGGCTTTTTTTTTGAATAATCAGCAAAATAAAGCTGAGTGAATTTAAAAGTGCTTTTCTTAAGTAAATCTAAGTTTTTGGAAGACCAATTTTTGAATAACCACTAAAATGAAGCTAAGTACAGCTTTAAAAAGTGCTTTTTAAAGTAAATCTAAATTTTCTTGATACTTTCATCTAACGAGCGTTGCTCGCTGGCTTTTCTTGTTAGAAATTAGAATAAAATCTCAAATTTACGTGCAAAAAAAACTTTTAATCTACGTTTAAATCACGGCTTAATAGGCCTGAATATGATATATCAATTGACCTATTCTGGTCATTGTTTAAGAAACTTGATTTTGCGTCATATTTTTTTAAATAAAAACCCAGACACGTTTTTCTACAAATTCAGCGGTCGAAACACTAATTTCAAAACACCAACCTGTTGAGACATGCAGGGAATTATTAAAATTATCAGCTTTACCCTATTCAGTTTGAAGTAAATAAGACCAGGACAAAAATAAAGCCACTCAAAATTTTTAAAATTACGCATCACAGATAGTTTCATACCAGTGCACAAAAAGTTATTCCAAACTAGCCAAATTCGCAATTTTCAAACCCACGAAACCCATCTACTTAAACAGGTGCACAACAGCGGTTCGCCGTGATGAGCTGTACAGCTCTTGTGTTGGTCCTTTCCCCCGTGAATAAATGGTCTTAAGTATCTACATATCCTGGTACAGTTTTTGTTGCTCATTTACTCAAAGAACTGACTCTTTAGAGTTTTAAATTTCCTTTGAAAACAAATACTTCAATCACCCAAATCGTCTGAAATAAAAACCACCCTGACCAAAAAATGTCTGTTGTTTTCTTTAAAAACTGGAGCACCATTTTATCCCAAAAAAAGCTTTCATTGACAATAATATGCCATATAAATTTCCAATATCACAAGATGACCACCCGGTGAATACCTTTTTATAACAGCAAAACCTATTGAGC